TGGATAAATACTTCTGCAATTTTGTTGATAATTTTTATTTACCCTCCTCACCAATAAAAGAGCTGTATGGTGGAGTAGTTAAGAGAATAGGTTTGGAGGGTCAAGTGATGTTTAAATCTCAGCTCTGCCATTTCCTAGCTGTGTGACCTGGGGCATGTTACTTAACTTCTTTAAAACCCCAGTTTTCTGGGCCGGCCCGGTGGCGCACTGGATAGTGCGCCGCTTGGGAAGCGTGGTTTTAAGTGGCTCTGTACATAAAATACATAGCTCAGCGTCTGGAATGTAGTAACAGTTCAGTATATAAACGGAAGAGCTGCACTAGTGCTCCATGAATGAACAGCTAAATGTGGAGGCATGACGTCTTAGGGGTGGGAAGCAGACAGGCAAGCCGGGACCCTCACGGCATGAGGGTAAGGGGTCAAGGCCCAGCTAGCTGCTCTGTGTTCTTCATTTTATTCCTCCGACGTCCTATCCTCTCTGCCTGTACTTGTGGACTCTGGGAATGGCGTCCCTCCCAGACTCCACTGGGAAGAATCTCTCTCCCCTCTGTAGCCTCCTCCCCCACTTTGCTGCGTTGGGATGTGGCTGTTCTCTGCTCTGTTACTCTGCATTGCAATCCCATCTGCTTATCAGCTTCCCTCTCTCCCCCTCCTTTCCCTTCCCTTTCCTCAAAATTTCTGGTCCACTGATGGTACCCCATTCTTGCTTTCCAGCACTATTAGAGATTTATTCTCTTTCTTATCACTTTTATGTTATTTTGGGGAAATCTGGAAGAAGGGGAAATAGAAAATGGCATTTCTCATTTCAGCATCTTGAACAAGAGCCACTGTGGATGTTCTGAATATTGTTTCTTTCCCTTTCCTCATATGGGAAGAAAATCCAGGTGACTGTTTAGAGGCTACTTCTGCTGGCATCCACCTGAGCATCCCTGGGAAAAGAATTGGATTTGCTCTTCTGTGAGTACACTCCTTTTGACCAGTAGGGGAAAACCATATCCCAGTCATGAATGGCTCATGAATGGGGGTGGCTGTGTCTGCAGGAATTCCTGCACTTGGGCCAGAGGCAGAACACATTGGCCACAATCTCCTGCCAGCCCAGATTTATGGATGTGGCTCTGTTGATGGCTACTGTTTCAAGCTCTGGTGGTGTTTAAGCCCATTCCAGATCCAGGAGTAGATATCAAATGCCTACTCTGCAGAGCCCTGGAGGAAGTGGTCAGGAAGAAGGGAGGGAAGGACTGAGCAGAACTGAGAGCCACTCACTATCCTTCCAGCCTCCAAGTGGCAAGAGAAGTCTGGGGATTTGCTTGTGTGTTAAATCCATGTGGTCACAGCTCCTCCCTTCCCTATTTGTTCTTTCTACAATTACACACTGGGTCCAGGGTCCATAACATGGATGCTTGAGCTTCTTACCAAAGCCTCCTGCAGATCAGATGCTTGCTAATATCTATTGAGTGCTCTGTCAGGCATTGTCTCGGGCACTTTACATATGCTGTCATTTAATATCCTAAGTGATCCCATGAGGTGGGTATGTTATTATCCCCATTTTAGAGATGAGGAAACAGGTGGAAAGGCTCAGTGACTTGCCCAAGGTCACATAGCTATTAAATGACTGAGCCAGGATTTGAATGGGGTAGTGTGGTTTCAGAGCCCATGATCTAACCACACTATTTTAGAATTAGCATTACCATTCTAGACTCTTCTTCCAGTCTTCCCCATTCATGACACTCAGCAGGCTCAAGAAGCCAGTCACTGGGCTGTTAGCCCTCAGAGGGTAGGTACCATAGTGGTGCAAGCCCAGATTCCCACTCACCAAGGCTGATCTTGCTACTTCTGTGCTAGCAACAGAGACCAACATGGAGTTCCCAGGACGGAGCCATCTCCATACCACTTGGTAGCAAGTTATTTACACTGGACTCCTTCCATATTGGAAGGAGCAGTGATTCATCTTGACTGAATTGGCACATATTCTGGGTAATGGTTTGCCTTTCCTGCCCTCAGGGCCTCAGCATCACCATTACCTAAGAGATTACAGAGTGACCCACTGGCAGGATCCTGTATAACATTGCATGGGACCAAAGGAGCCAATATATAACAAAGGAGATGCAGCAGTGGGTATATGACCATGGAATACACTGGCCCTGTCACATCCCTGCCACCATGAAGCTGCTGGCCTGGGAGAGCAATACAAGAGCCTCTCAAAGGTGCCTCTGAGGCGCCAGCTTGGAGATGACATCCTATGGCAATGGGGGACTATCCCCCAGGACACTTAAATCAATCACCATAATGATGCTATATCCCCAGTAGAATACACAATTCTTGAAATCAAGTCTGTCATTCATTTTAATCAAATCTATTGCCACCATTTCCAGTGGCCCATTTGGGAGAATTTATACTTCCTACCCTACAACTTCTAGGCTTTGTAGGTCTAGAGGTTCTGGCTCCCAGAGGGGGTATGCTTCCACCAGGAATGTAGCAAGAGTCCTATTAGACTTTAAGCAACAGCTGTCACCCAGTAACTTTGGGCTCCCTGTGTCAAGATATAAGCAGGAAAGAAAACTGATCTTGACCATTCTAATTGAGTCTGAATTGATCTTGACCATCAGGAGGAGGGTGGGCTACTGTCCAAGTGATACACTGGACATCTCTTGGTATTCCCCTGCCCAGTTTTGGTGTTAAATGGACACGTGCAGCAGCTATGGCTTGAGAGGGGCACGGTGACCAGGGATTGAGACCGTGTAGGCATAAAGCATGAGTCATGCCACCAGGTAAACCATCTAGATCAGTGGAAGTGCTAGCCAAGGTGAGGGGAATTTAGAATGGGTAGCAGAGGAGGGGATAATAGGCATCTGTTGCAGCCATGAGACCCACAGCATTAGCAGGAACTGCAGCTGATCCCTCCAGCCATCCTCTTATAAGTCTATGCAGAGAAAAAGACCAACCAGAATCCTGGAGGAACTGTTCCAGATGGGGTGAACTTATAATATGAAGGAAGTTGACCCAAGAGGTGCAAGGGATGGACTGTAGTGGATACTGTGATGTGCTACATTGCTCACCCTCAGGACTCAGGCACTTGCTCCCTCAGGAACGACCAGGAATTCCAGCAGCTAAGAGCTTATCACTGAGTCCTTTGCAGGAATGGTCTTGGCCAAAATTAGTTGCCTTGCCCGAGGTCATGCTCCCTCCTTAGGGTAGCACACATCCACTGACTGGTTGATGTGAGGGTAAAAAGGTCTAGGCCCCTGGCCTCAATTTGGAACAATGAAGGGCCACCTCAGCTTCTGAACACCTATGGGCTCAGCTGAGGCCTCTGTGGCAACAGCATCATGACTCAACTTCTCCCTCTGCCCAGTCCTGCTTTTCTCACTTGCTTACAGGTTTTGATCCCAATGACCACCTGCACACAGTCTCTCTCAGAGTCGATTTCCCAGCATCCCATCCTATAACGGCTCATGTCTGTCATGCTCACTGCTGTATCCCTAGCACCTAGCACAGGCCTGTGCCAAAATAGGTGCTCAAGAAATACTAGTGGAATGAATGAACAAACTAAAAGGGATCTACCTGGTCCTTTGACAAAATTTCCTTAAATTTTCTCAGTAGGATTCCTTACCTCCCAACCATTCTACCCACCACTGTCAGATTAATAGTACTTGTAAAGTCCCTCCACTGTTCAAGAACTCTCAGTGGCTCCCCATTACCTATAGACAATCTCTTTGGCCTGGCATTCAAGGCCTTTAACAAGCTTGCCCCAGTCTACCTGTCTGCCTCTCAGCTTTCAATTCTCATATATCACATTCCTACAAGCTGACCAACCTGGAACATTAGCCTTTTCGTGCAGTTCCCTTCCTAGAAATATCCTACACCATCCCCAAGTTCCCTTCTGAATCTTTCCAAATCCTTCACATCCTTAAAAGGCAAGCAGTAAAATGCAATGTTTAGAGCCTAGTCTCTGGATTTAGAAAGCCTGTGTTCATTTCCAGCTCTGCCACTTCCTGGCTCTGTCACCTGGAGCAGGTTACTTTACCTCTCTGCACCTCCATTTCTTTATCTGTAAAACAGTGTCAATAACAGAATTTACCTCCTAAGGAAAATTTTGAGATTAAAGGAGATAATCTAGGCTAACTGTTTACAACAGTATCTGCCACACAAAAACATTAAGTATTGGCTATTATCCTTCAGGATGGAGTCCAACAAACTTTTTCTATAACGGGCCACATAGTAAATATTTCAGGTTTTGCAGGCCGTATAGTTTCTGCTGAAACTACTCAATTCTGTTGCTGTACCATGAAAACAGCCATAGATAATACATAAGTAAAGGATGTGGCTATGATCCAATAAAACTTTATTTATAAAACCAGTCAGCAGGTCAGATTTGGCCCACGTGCTTTGCCAATCCTGCTTTAGGGTTCAGCATAAATGGGAAGTCTTCCCGACCTCTGAGGAGAGAGTGGCTTCTTCTCACAACTCTGAATATTCTTAGTGCCTTACACTACAACAGCAACAGCAGAACAATGCCCAGCTCACATATGGTTGGCATCACACCTGCCTTGTGTTTAGGTTCGAAGGGTGTGACAGGCAGCATTCATGGTGCTTAAGAGTGTGGGTGTTGTAGGCAGACAAACTCAGCTTCCTAGTTCCACTTACACACTGTGTAACTTGGGCAAGTGATTTCACCCACTGAGGCTGTTTCCTCAGCTGTAAAATGGGGATTGCAATAATACGATAAAACACACTTCCTGGCTGCTGCAATGTGTCGAGGTGAAATGTCCAGTCCATGCTAGATCAAAGATCTCTGTTATTATTTCACTTTTATGACCTTCCAGCTATTGTGTTGTTGCTGTTAATCATTACAATACTGACAGCGACGCTATTCTCTTACTACACCATAGCTCCTTGATACCAGAAGCCCTGGCATAGCCATCTTTGCATACCCCCGAGACCATGAACAGACATCGTTTACTGGCTGCCTGGCTGGCTGGCCAGAGCTGGGTATTTACTTACGACTGGGGGACCCCTCCGATCCCAAAGCCCACCAGGCCCCGGAGCACCAGGATCCAGCTATACACGGGTGCAAAAGCACTGAGGATGCCGTAGTACAGAGTCCAGAGCACGCTGATCTTCAGCCCCTGCGGAGAAGGAAGACACCAAATCACAAGGGTTTCTCAGAACCTCCAGGTAGCATGGCTCCTGCACCACATTTAAAGATACCAATAGGGTCACCCTAAATAGTAATCTACACAGTCAAGGGGATGCCAGGGGTCTCTGTATGGGTGGCACTAACCCCTAGGGGGTGTGTGAAAAAACTGTGGGGCGTTCTTGGTTGTCCCAATGATTGGCATTTAATGCCAACCAGGGCCCAGAGATGTCAGATATTCCACAATGCATGAGATGCCCTGTGTTCCATGCCATTTCAAATGTCCCACTCAACCATCATGCAGCTGAAAACTCTGTTTATGGTTATCTGCACTAATGGAAGTAAGAGACCTTCACTCTATTTTACATATAAACAGGATGGGGGCAAATGATTTGAATATATGCTTAATTTTCCAGGAATGCAACTTCCGGGTAAATCATAGGAAGATTCTTTGTTTTATCCAGAACTTTACAAAACTGTTCATTTTAGAAATCCATGTTGTCGATGGCAACTCCGCATGTGGTGTTTGCATCTCTGATGGGACGCCTCGGTGTCAGTCTGCATTCTCTGGGCTTATGTGAACAGACTGATCTAAACTTTATTTCCAAATGTCAGATACAAAGAAAAAGCATACGCAATATTCAATTAAATCCAAACTTATTTATAATCAGGGGCAAATATTGGCTACTTCCTTTTATCATCCAGGCAGAGTTGTGTGTGAACATTTGCATATTGAAAATAAATTTAATTTTATTAATGATCTTTTAAAAATTTTTCCCTCGTATCATAGTTAAGAGCATTAGAACTGATTTCTTTTTCTTCTTTTTTTCATTCTGTGTTTTATTACTGAAATACATATTGTCTTACCTACCCCACCCCACAATAAAAATCTCACCCTGGTCTCCAATCCTTTTCCCTTATCCTCCCCATTCCCTGCCCTGCACAAGTGCTCCAGGACTCCCTACCCACTGGCCATTTTGGAACGTGTCCATTGGGTAGCAATGTGGGAACCACTCAGGGCTTTTGTGGAGAAAATGGTGAGGTGGGGAGCCCCAGGAAGGGCTTATTTGAGGGTCTTGGCCACTTGCTCGTAGGCCAGCTGGATCTCCTCACCATCTGGACAGGCAGATGCAAATTCTTCCCAAGCACGGGCATTGCTCAAGTACCAATGCAGTCCCCAAAGGTCTCCGGGATGGTGACTCCCTGGTAATTCTTACACACCACCTGCTCTTTGTGGAGCTTTGGCAACAGGTTGCAGTCAGCCAGGGTGGGCCCATTGCCATACAGAAACTTCCTCTGAGAGATGCCCACATCTTCAGCACTAGTCTCATCTGCTTCTTCTGGGAGGGGAGATGTCAAGTAACTTTAAAACCTTCAGTGCTTTTAGGAGACCCTTCTCCAGATTATCATTGAGTGCTGGGTTTGAATTCTTAATGTAGGCAGAAAATTTGGTAAATATGTCCAACCCAGCTATGCTGGATTCAGGGTTCAGAGCTGCCAGCTGGGGTACCTGGGAAAGCACAGCACTGCCTCCAGAAATTCCTCAATCTTGTTGGTGTCTGTGTGTGCTTTGGTGCCATACAGCAGGAATGGGAGCTGCCCTCCTGGGCACAACTTTTGCACTGCCTCCATCTGCCTCTTGGTGTCACAGTGGTGACACTGAAGGTGATTCCCTTGAGCCAGAGCACCATATACAGTCTCTGGAAGAAGGGGCAGTTCCCAGTCTTGGCCTACCACTGCCAGCCTTCATGAACAATTCCACCTATATTTGCTCCTCAGCCATGATTGCGTTGGGGACCTAATTTCTTTTTTAAAGTATGTGAGTGGCTAGGTTATTTTACCTTTGGAATTTATTTCTGGATAGTTAAGGAGGCATTGCCAAAATTTTTCATGACATTTTTTAAGTAAAGGGGACCTGTGTTTGGCGGGGTTGAGAATCACAGAGGGACACAATGGTTCAAAGGCAAACATGGTGGATATTTCTAGAATGTTAGTTACCTTAATGACTGTGAAAAAAATTAAGGGTGAATGTAATTTAAAACACTATGTTTGTATCACAATCAACGCCAAACATATGATGGAGTAGAATGCAAATTTTACATGAATTTTAAACCTGCAATGTGAAGTCTGGGGCAGGCCTCTCTCTGCAACACCCCTCCCAGAACTTCAAGGTTAAATTCACACTCCTGCCCGCCTGAGGACACTTCAGGGAGAAAGTGTGAAAAATATTGATTTTAGCTTTACAATCTTAAACTGTATTAAAAGAGACTAGAGAGGAAATTTGGAGGTCTACCAGATGATTTCAGGTCATGCAGAAAATGATTTTAGGTGGTAGAGAGAATATTTTTAAATAACTTTGCATCACCTTGCAAGAAAGTTATTTCGTTTTCATTTCAAGCTTCATTCTTTATGTCACAGAGAAAGTGTCCATGGGGTGCTAGTCTGTCTTTAACACCTTTCTAAACACCTACGCATCTCTCTTTCTTTTTTTTTTTTCCCCTTTTTGTCTTTTTTTGTGTCTGGCAACAGATCGCAACCCTCAGTGTCGCGCCCATACTGGACCGGGACCGGCAACAGGATCGCAACCCTCGGTGTTGCTCCCGCACCGCGCTCAGCCAGTGAGTGGGACCCGGTCTGTACGTGGGATCCGAACCCTCGGTGGGAGCGCCATCGCACCGCGCTCAGCCAGTGAGTGGGACCCGGTCTGTACGTGGGATCCGAACCCTCGGTGGGAGCGCCATCGCACTCCCAAGCGGCGCACTGTAGCAGTGCGCCACCGGGCCGGCCCGCATCTCTCTTTCTAACAGAGAAGTCAGTGGGGCAACTATAACCAGCTAGAATTTAATAACATTGATTTGTTTACACTGTATTCATTTTTGCAGACATTTCCTACTTAGGGCAACTACTACTGGTTTTCCATTTGAGACTCTCTATAAAGTTTTCTTTCCAAAAGAAATGCATTTAAGTTTTTAAAAAAGCAAGTTGAGGGGCTGGCCCGGTGGCGCACTGCTACAGTGCGCCGCTTGGGAAGCGCGGTGGCGCTCAATAAATAAAAAAGCAAGTTGATATAAAGAAAAATACTAAGTACCTAAGAGAACAGGTGGGACAGGAATTCCTAAAGTCTAGGAAGCAATAATAATAAAGCAACATTTTTGCACACCCAAACTTCTGACTGTGAACTCAACGCCTGCCACACACATACTTAATTCCTTTCCTTTGGCTTAAGCTAACTTAATAGGGATTTTCTTCATTGGAACCCAAGAATTCTTGAATCAGGCACGGACATGATTAGCAACAAAGAAAATAAAAGGAAAGAAGAAAAACAGAGCAGGAGAGGTGGAGGGGGAGAGAAGAGGGCAATCAGCTGGGAGCTAACCCTCCCTCAAGGGCTGTGGGGAGCCCCTATCCCTCCTGCCAGGCAGCAAAGACAGGCATGCTAACCTGTCCTATTTGTCACAACAGATTGCAGCTGGCTTTGCATTTGTCTGCTGATGCCAGGGCTTTCCAGCTGCCCAGAAAATGAGGACTTAACAACCATGTGTAAGTACTGGCATAGCCATAACAAAGGCAGGGGCACTGCTGGCAAGGCCCATTCAAGAGCTACCCTGGGACTGTGCAGAAATGTCTCATGGACCTTTGGGCTGTTCAGTACTACAATTGTCCTTCTGCCTAACATCTGTTCTGCCCTTTATAAATAGCTCCTTCTTTCCTTCAGTATACGTTTATTGAGCATCCCCTAAATACCAGGCTCCAGGGATAGATGAACAGAGATTATACACTCATTAATTTGCTCATTCAGTTATTTATTCAACAAGCATGCATTGAGTACATGCTGTATGCCTGCCACTTATATAGACTACTCACTCATTCATTTATTCAGTATACATATATTGAACACCTGCTGTGTGCCCAGCACTAGAGGTACTGATATATATTATTCGTTCATTCATTTGTTCAATATGCATGTATTAAGCACCTGCTGTGTGCTTGACAGTAGAAGTACTGATATATATCATTCACTCATTCATCCATACAATATGTATGTATTGAACATATGCTGTTTGCTAGGTACTGGGCCATAGTAGGCAACCTGACAGCCAGAGGTTCTGACTTCAGGGAACTTTCATCTGCATTTTTTAGACCACTGTCACATCAGAACACTGTATCCTCTTAGCAGTCCCATGGAAAAAGGTTATTATAATTTCTCTTTCACAAATTAGCACAGCAAGGGCTGAAGTAGTGGAGATTTTTTGCTCAAGATTAGCAAGTAGCAAACTCAGAACTGGAGCCTGGACTTCCAACCCCAAATGCTGTACTTTGAGTGAGCCACTGCCCTCCTGCAGGGCCTTCAATGGATCCCTGTTACCTCTGACAGAAAACATAAATGCACGATGCAGGTATAACACAGCAAGGACAGGTGGGGCTGGGTGAATAGGAGGGTATTTGCCCTGTCTTGTCAGCCTCTACTCAGTTCTAGCCACAAGTTACTATGACAGAACGTGATTCCCAGGCTGCCGGATGACCTAATTTTTAAGAAAACCCATAACTCTATTTTTATGCAAAATATGTCATTTTTGAAGTGGAGGCAACAATTCAAAATCCTATAAAACATAGCATGGGATAAATAAAACACATGGGGGACCATATTTAGCCCATGGATCACCAGTTTGTAACGTATAGCCTAGAAAGCCTGGTGACCCGTGGGTCACATATGGCCCATGTTATTCTCCAATCATGTTCAACTTCAAGGACTATCTTCATAGGCCAAGGAGAACCAAGGATCCCCAAAGACAGAGTCCTGGTGCCTACCAGGCACCGCCTTTCCCTCCTTGAAGATAACATAGATGTAGTAGCTTTTGAACTAGATAGTGACCTGACCATACTATATTCTGAAATTTTTTCCTTTTGAGTCCCAAACAATAATAGCTACCATTTATCACAGGCTAACTATGCATCAGCAAACACTGTTCTAAGTATACTACATACATTTTCTTATTTAATCATCTCTCAAACCCTTAAGCACCTTTTGTCAACTCAATTTTGTAGATGTGAAAACTGAGGCTCAGAGATGTGAGCAACTTGCCCAAGATCACCTCGCTCAGCAGAGGGGTATTGGCGTATGAACCCAGATGTGTTTATCTCCATGACTTCAAGGACACACGCCCACAGCTGCCTTCACCTTTCTGTGGCTGCCACAAACTCCCAGGCTGTAGAAACTTCTGTAGGAACCAAAGTGGCTCACTGAGTCCTAACCGCATATGCAATTGCCCTGCAAAATCATGTAGCAGTTGCCCTCACCAACACCTCTCTGCTGGGCTAAGGCAGATCAAAGAGATTCTCCGTGGTTGCCAAGGCTGGCCAGCTGCCCAGCTTGCCCAGCACTCCTGGAGTTCTGGGGAAGCTTTATAATTAGAGTCTGATCCATCCTTCCTGGGGTTGGGCCAGAATTCCATGCTAGAGAGGAGGAAGCTCTGCAATTTGGGGACGCTTTCTCTCCTCTCCCTCTGGTCACGCCAGCTTCATGTTGGGTGTGGAATTTACCAAGCTGGTTGGGAGAACTGGCAGGACACCCTATGGGCAGCCCCACACCCCACCCCAAGCTTTATTTATTTGAGATGAATGAATGTTTAACTGATCAACTGAATTCTGGAAAATAAAATTCAGTTATGTCTCGCAGCAGCCAAGGTCAGGTGAAGGATGTGGACTCTGGAGCCAGATATGCCTGCATTTTAACGCTGGCATTGCCATTACGGGCAGTACAAGCTTGGCAAAGTAAAAGAATAATAATGGACATTTATGAAACTCTTCTGTGTGCCAAGAGCTTTATGTACAAAGCTATTTATTTCTCTTCTCATAACAACTCTATTGGAGAGACTATTATCATCCCACTTACAGATGAGAAGACTGAGGCACAGAGTGGTTAAGTAACTTGCCCAAGGTCATGCAGCCTATAAGTGGAGGAGCTAGGATTTGAACCCAAGCAGTGTGGCCTCAAAACCCATGTTTTTCACAATGAGACTCTATTATTTCACTTGTCAGAATGATTCCTTAGGTAAATATTGACTTGAAGGCTGAGTAGTCCGAGGTGACAGAGTAAGATGATGAAAAACTAACTCTTCACAATACTGCAACCTGGCATTGTCCACACATTTATTCTAGAGCCTGGTTTCTCAGCTCCGGCACCGTTAACATCTTGGACTGGGTAATTCTTTGTGATGGAGGCTGTCCTGTGCACTGTAGGATACTGAGCAAAACCCCTGGCCTCTACTCGCTGGATGCCAGTAGGACCCTTCCGCCCAGCTGTGACAACAAAAAATGTCTCCAGACATTGTCAAGTCCCCCTCCCCCCAAATTGAGAACCAATGTTCTAGAAAGTGCCAAAATGTCACAATTCACAGGATTCAGTAAATGGCATTACTGAAAACCCACCTACAAATCTTTTAAAAATCCAAGCTCATAGCTTTCGCCTCTGGGGCCCATCAAAAACATGAAGATGTCTATAGTCTACAGGGATACCTTCTGGGAACACCATATGACCTACTTCCCTTCATGGCAGAATAAACATGATCCTGCAAGGGAGGTCAGAATCCTTCCTGGCAGTTTCATTGATCATGATCTCCCAGGTACCTGCTCACTCAGTGTTTCCTGGCCAGTAACTGTCAGAGGGGATACAGCTGGAGCCTACTTCCTGTACAGTGCTGCTCAAACTTTCAATCATTCATTGAGCCAACATATATTTATTGAGCAACTACAGTTTCAAGCCACGGGCATCATGGTTAAGACAAACATCTAGACTTAGAAAGAACAAGACCTGGCTCTGTGACATATAAACTGTGTGGCCTTGGGCAAGATGCCCATTCTCTGTGCCTTAGTCTCCTCTTCTGTAAAGTCAGAGTGATGATAATACCTACCTCAACGGTTACAATGGGGATTGGATGAGCTAATGAATAAATAATGCTTGGTATAGTGTCTGCTATACAAGGCACTATTTTATGTTCAGCCCATGACATGCTATTTGTAGTTGAAATTGCCTGTTACCTACCCAGCATCCATCTCTCCCTTCTTCCTTGCTAACAGAATCTAAGTTTGTTTAGGTATCCAGCCCATTTCCAGGTCAAGAAGTAGACTTTTATAAATCTAATCCAATAGTTCCCAAAGTCTGGTTCCCAGACCAGCAGCATTAGCATCACCTGGGAACTTGTCAGAAAGGCTGTAATGGCAGTGCCAGCTCACATGTGCTCTGTGCCTACCATGTGCCTGGCATTGTACAAAGCAATTCATACCCATCACTTCAATTAACTTCCAGTGTAGGTTCTGTTATTTTCTTCTTTATACATATGAAGAAATTGATGCTCAGAGAGGCCAGTTCACTTGCCCAAGATCACACAGCCAGGAGTGGCAAAGTCAGGACTGAACCCAGGTCCACCTGAATTCAGGGCCCAGACCTGTAAATTTCCTTTTTTCTTCTTATTTGAAAATCCATTTCATGTCATGTCTGGGCTCCCCCAAAAGCAGACCCTGAGATAAGAGTCCTAGTACAAATAGTTTATTTAGGCAGTGATCCCAGTAGGGGAGTGGAGAGGTGAGATTGGGCAGGGAAGGAGGGTAATTCAACCTTCATAAGCAGGTTGCCACAGTGGGCATCAGAGCTTAATCCTGCTGGAATTGAGAAATGGCCTACTTTGGACAAGGAAGCTGCTGTCTTTATCCACCATCCCTTGACTGCCCCAGCCAGGGGCAGTAAGGGAATGGTGAATGTCCAGGGGACATCTTCAACAGCACTGTCTAGATTCTGAAATGTGCATGCATGGCCTCCCCAGGAATGTGTGATTTGACGAGTCCACAGCAGCCTTGGAGCGATGTCTTTTCAGTGCACTGCAGCATAGCTCCTCATTAGGCCTCCCGACTGCTAAAGCTGCTCAGATTTTGCTACTTGTCAACATCATCATGGAGAGAACCCAGAGGACATGCACTTAGAAGAGGTGGCCTTACTGTTTTCCTGCCGTACTGGTCTGAGATATTTCCCCAGAGCGTGGAGCTGGACATCATGCCTACAAAGACCACCTGTGGGTGGAAAGACAGTTTCTGTTAGACAGAGACATGCAGCACTGCAGACAAAGGGAAAAACAACCCACCCTGTGACATCACATCGTAGGTAATAAAAATGAGCCAATGTTCACCGAGAGCTGGCCGAGGAGCACACACTCTTCTAAGTGCTTCACTTTCCCATGGAAGCCTCCCCAAAACTACACAGGGTGGGTGCTATCATTATCCCCATTTTACAGATGAGGAAACTGAGACTCAGAGAGGGGAGACCACTTGGCCCAGGTCACACAGGTGTTAAGTGGTGCAGCCTGGACTGGAATTAGGCAGTATGGCTCCAGAGCTTGCATTTTACCAATTTCTCACCATACCAAAGAAATGTTTTGCCCTACTGTGAATAAAGTATTGAGAGTTGCAAGGTTGAGTTTGCAAGGTATGAAAAACAGGCAGACAGGAGGCTGGTATGGGAGCTGTACACTATTAGCAAGAGAAGCCACTCCTGGAGTGCTCACTAGGTGTCCGGCAAAGTTGTTGTTACCTTATTAATGATCATACCCATTTGACAGATGGGGAGCTGAGACTCAGATAGGTTAAGAAACCTTCTCAGTACCCCCAGGAAGAGCGGGTAGAACCAGGTCTTAAATCTGGGGAAGCTGACTGGGGCCTCATCACTGTGCTCGACACTTACCAGACACCACACTTCAATGCTTCATATATACATCTTCCCTAATCCTCTCCCCAGCCCTACAAGGCGGTGCTGTTATTATCCCCAGTTTACAGATAAGGCAACTGAGGCCCAAAGAGGGGAAGGCCCAGCTTCAGTTCTGTCTGAAAAAGCATTCCTTTTTCAAAAGCATTCCTCCAGGCATGTCTCAGGGTAGCAGGCTACAAATGCGGGGATACATAGAGATGTTCCAAGGAGAGGCAGACATGGGCCATTTTAAAGGAATTAATTTCCAGCTCCTCCATTTCCCTACAGACTCTTTCCCAAGAACAACTTAGGGGTCTCCCTGTTCCCTGTCCCACTCCCTCTTTCTCAACCACTTCTTACTCTGCCATTCTCACCAATGCACCTCAGGGTGCATGGCTTTGCAATGTAAACCCTCCAGGATGCCTCAAAAGGGACACCAATGACACACTTACAAATCCTCTTGCGAGTCATCTCGTTTCCAATTCCCATATTATTTTCAGCAAAACTGGAGGAGAACCTAATCTGGTTGTCAGCAAATTAGATCACTAAAAAATAATTTTTCATAAATATTAGCTGTGTGCTCTTTGACATATAACTTGGAAGTTGTTTTAAAAAAATCAAGTGGGGCCGGCCCGGTGGTGCACTGGATAGTGCGCTGCTTGGGAAGCGCGGTGGCGCGCCTGCCCGAGGGTTCGGATCCCACATACAGACCGGTTCCCGCTCGCTGGCTGAGCGAGGCGCGAGAGCAGCACCGAGGGTTGCAATCCCGTTGCCGGTCCCGGGTCCGGTGCGGGGGCAACACTGAGGGTTGCGATCCGTTGCCGGACACGGAAAAAGACAAAAGACAAAAAAAAAAAAAAAATCAAGTGGCATTAATTTGGGTTATCACGAAATGCCTTCAGTTCCCCAGAAGTTTTTTCAAAGGGAACAAAGATTTTCATATTCATATTCATTTAGTCAAAATGATAAATAGGAATAGAAATGGTGCTGAACCCTGTCTCCTTTAGCAAATAAGTAATCATCCAAGAATATGTGAAATATTTGAAAAACATACCATACCACTCACTAAAGGGTATATTCCTAATAAAAACGTACTTACATATAACAATTACTTATCAAAATTTAATTAATATCTTGTTTTGGTCTACTGTGCACTACTAAAGATTATAATGATAACTCAGGACAGGAGAAAAAATTTTAATGCTAAGAGCCTTCTCAACTCAGAAAATTAAAAACAATAATTTAAAATTTATACACTTTGCTAGAGAATTATAAGAGGGCAGTAAATGCAATACTTTAAAGCATAAGAAAACATTACATTAAGATAAAATTATATGGAGAAATGGAATGAAAATACCAGTTAAAGAAGAAAACAAGAAAATGCAAAATTACCATGTTCCTCTGAATAGTTTATTTATGTTATTTTAAAATAGGTGATGATGGGTATCAGATAAGTATTTCAATTCCATTGGACACATTTTAAAAAGTGATATGGTAATTTTATTTAAATTTGTATATTTCAATACACTGGAAATTATATAATCTTCAACCTGCACTTTAAAAACAATAATGTCAATTTCAAATTGGGAGAGTTGTGGAAGCTGCATAGTTTTTAGTCAATTCTTTTCTAGATTACCACCAACAAAAAAGTTTGAATATTACTGCCTTGGGGTAAATCACTTAGTCATGTCCTAAATGATATCTTTGTATCCTGGAAGAGTTAAGTATCCCCCAAAACACCCACTTGCCCTGAAGGGAGAGATTCAAGCACAGCAGAGCACTGATTCTATATCATAGTAATTACGGTAATCTTGATACTCTCGCACAGTATTTCCTGTCGCAACAATGATGCCTCTGTCCCATCCTCCTTATGTGTTTTATGCAGTACTCTAACTTTCCCACAGAAAACTTGGCTGTGGGACTCCACGGCTCTACTTATCCCCCAAGTGCAAACTCTACACCGTAAGAAAGTAGCCCAGGGCTGTGGCTGGGAGCAGGGGTTCTGAGTCTGCCAGGCCCTGATTTTAAAAATTCTGACTCTGCTTCTTATAGGCCATGTGAGCTTGGGCAAGTCACTGCACCCTTCTATGCCTTAGTTCCCTATCTGTAGAAATGGGAGTATTAATAGCACCTCTTTCACAGGTGGAGAGGGTTGAAGAGGTAATGTATGCAAAACACTTAGCACAGAGCCTGGCATGTAATAAGTGCTTAGTAAACAGTGGTTGCTATGAACCAATGACAAGAGACCAGAAAAGTCCTGTGTTGCAAGAACACAGACCTGCGATTACTCTCTAGGAGGTATTAGTGAAAATGAGGAATATAGGAAAGAAGTGTCATTCATTCCACCCCTGCTGTATGCTAGGTACTGTGTGTCTCTTGTCCATCTGCAGAAAAACAAGCATTAACACCCCATTTTGCAGGCCACATAGTAGAACCATAAAGTGCCTCAGTCAAGGTCACACTTCTAGGACGAGGTGATGAAACCACAAAAACACAGGTGTATGTGCTATGAAGCTCCTCCCACTGAGCTGCACAACCTTATTGCTAATATCAGATGGGGCCTTGCTGGAAGGCACTCAGGCCTTTCTAGAATGGTTAACTATATATAAAAAAACCTAGCATTCTGGGAGGCAACTGTAGTTAGCAATTACTCTGCCACTAGCCATGTTGTGTGACCTTGAGTGAGTGATTCAACCTCTCTGTGCTTCATTTTTCTCAACTAATAATAGTACCGAACTCAGAAGATGAGGATCAAAGAGCACAATGTATATCATGCGTAGATTCTATACAATGTATGTGAAGCCCTTTGCACAGTAAGTGCTCAATAAATATTAGCTTTTGTGATTATCATTATTATTATCCTCTTATCTCGACTGGCCATTTCTCTCTCTTTTAGAAGGTTGCTGCTGGTCTCCACCTGACAAAAATTGACGGTCTGCCACACTCTCCTTCAAGTCTTAATTCCAGGGAGCAGCAGCTACCTACCATTTATTGGACACCTACTGTACGTCATGCACTGTGTTCTTTCCAATCCTCAAATCACCCTTGTGTGCGAGAAATTGGCATCTCCTGTTTGCAGCCAAGAAAAGTGAGGCTAATAAGGTTTAAGTGATGTGCGTAGGTGGGCTCTAAGTTTCCAGCAATTGAGCAGGATATCTGGGACCCCTAAGTAGTGGGACCCCTGGGTAGAGTGGAGTTGGCTGCAAACCTGCCTGGATATGTGAGGTGGGGAGGGGACTAAAGGGAGCTGAGGTCACAGTGTTTCCATCTAGGATTTAATTTTCTTTTCTACTGAGCCCCTGGCAACAGGAGAAGGGCGACATCATGCAGGACACCGCTGGGGACCAGAAATGTATACAACAGGAGAGAGCTACTGGGCTGCCTACCGAGGTCAGTAATGCGACTTGCCAGCTGGGGAGCCGCCACTCGCAATGCAGCTGTGGTGCCAGGATGCTCAGGATCATCATCTCCATGGCATCAGCCATCTGCAGAGAGGAAGGAGATGCCATGAGGCCAGGATGGGGTCCAGTGCTAGGGATAAGTGGCCAAGTCCATGACCCCAGAGTGAGAGAGTGTAGCAAACTCCTCTTCTACCACCTGCTCAGTGCCCTACCACACACCAAGACATAATGAAAGCGCTAGGTGTCAAAACAGAGTGTTATCATCCAGGAATTGGCAGATAGACATTTAACGTTGCTTGTGTGTGTGTTTCCACGTTTTAAAAAATATGGGTGCTCCCCAAATGAAGTGGAAAAACATCATATTTCTAAAATCTGAGAAAAACATTTTCATAGAGGTAGAGAGTCAATGATCTTTTCCTTTAGCCCAATTAAAGACTAGTTTGTCTTTGGTTCATAGGTATTTGCTCATGCAGAATTGTCAGTATATTTAACAAGTGCAACCTTTTAATAGAATATTATAACACACTAGGGAGCCCCAGTAATTAAACACTGTGGTACCTTTACAGGACTAGACAGAACAAAAGGACAGAAATGAGAGTACAGAAGCAGACCCATGTGGCTGTGGGAATGTGGTGCACGACAAAGGCGACTTTTCAAATTAGTGGGGGAAATGATGTGGGGAAATTGACAATCCATTTGGAAAAATATGTAGTTAGATCGCTGTCTCACACCATTCACAAAAATCAATTTCAGCTGCATTAAAGGTCTAGCTGTGCTATTTGCCACAGATATACATAAAGATAAGGGGATTTTAACAAGTAACTGCACCTTGAAGCAGGAGGCAAATTTTTATCTGTGCATGTTTTTCCAAGGAGAGCTTCACAGTTAACACCATAATCTCATAGTAGCCCTGAGTTCCAAATGGTTGAGAACCACTTAATTAGCTAGAAGCTTCAACTCCTCCTTGAATGCAATCACCAACCACACCCAGCTCCCCCCAAGCACAGAAGTCCTTTTCCACTACTTATCATGCTTTGGTGGTTGGAATTCAAGCAAAGGCTCTATGTGGAGGGAACCATGTTTTTCCTTGCAGACCTTAGAAACCCAACCTAGTTTGAACAGTATTGGGAGGCTCCATGGAGTCTGCAGTGAGATCACTGCCCCCCAGAAATACTTGCCCATGCCAAGCCGGTGAGAACAGACAGCTTCCACTGAAATTTTCCAAACCCAATGGCTTCCACCGCATCTTCCACCATGAAAGTATCTGAAAAGGAGAAAGGGGGAGGGGAAGAAGGATGAGTGCACCCTGCAGCTGTCCTAGCATGGGGGTGTCTGGGTGGTCCCCAGCCAAGCTAATCAAAGGCAGCACATGCTGTTTCTAGAACTTATCCTAGAAAAATATTCCAGCAAGTGTGAAGCAGTATCTGGCTACTGCAACATTGTTTACACAGGAAAAACTGGAAAACACAGAACATTTATAACAGGGAGTTGGTTAAATAAATTATTATATATCCTATATATATATAAAAATTAACTATCCACATTATGAAATATGACCCATCTGTTAAAAAGAATGTGCAGATACAGAAAGATACACATAATATATTGTTAATTAATTTTTAAAAACAAAACAAGACGAAAAACAAAATATTTAATACGGTTCTATTCTTGGAAATGTATGCGTGTGTGTGTACATACGTACATGTGTCTATGCATAGAATATGTACAAGACTTTAAATTATGGCTTTATTTTTGTTGTTTTGGGAGGGGAGGAGGGAGGAATCATATGAGACTTAAACTTTCTTTTTGTAATTTATTACTTCCATAATCAGGAAAAAATACATGCTTTTTTTTTTAGCACCACCATCAGCAGCAGCAGCATCACCACCATCACCACCACCATCACCACCATCATCACCACCATCACTATCATCACCACCATCATCACATCACCACCATCATCATCACCACTATCACCATCCCCACCATCACCACCATCACCACCACCATCACCACCACCATCACCACCATCATCACCACCATCACTATCATCACCACCATCATCATCACCACCATCACTACCATCATCACCATCACCACCACCATCACTATCATCACCACCATCATCACATCACCATCATCATCATCACCATCATCACCACCATCACCATCCCCACACCATCATCATCACCACTATCACCATCACCACCATCACCACCATCACCACCACCATCACCACCACCATCACCACCATCATCACCACCATCATCACATCACCACCATCATCATCACCACTATCACTACCATCATCACCATCACCACCACCACCATCAGCAGCAGCAGCAGCAGCATCACCACCATCAACATTATCATCATCACCATCATCATCATCACCACCCCCACCATCACCACCCCCACCATCACCATCATCACCAGCATCATCACCACCATCAACATCACCACCACCATCAGCAGCAGCAGCAGCATCACCACCATCACCACCATCATCATGATCACCACCGCCAACATCATCACTGCGCAATCCTCAGCCAAGTGTTAGGCAATGATGCTGACTGGCAGGGAATGTGATGCAACCTTGCCTACTGAAGTAAGCCATGTAGGCCCAGCTCACACTTCCAGTGTCACCCTTGGGCCCCCAGGTCCTCCCAACTGCCCCTTCAAAAGACCCCTCTGAGAGCACCACCTGGGGAGGCAACCCTTGTGCCTCAGAGCTGCTGACTGTGGCCTGGGCTGATGCCCCAACTTCTGGGTCCTCTTACCATCAGTGGGATTGGCAAACTCCTTGGGCACAGCTGCCCCATCGTCCAGCTCAACAGCCTCTAAGCCCGCACGGACCCCTTCAATCTGGACCTCATGTTCTCCTGAAGCCGTGTCGTCCTCTGACCTTGTACTCTCACCTGTGCGACGGAATTTCACCACCCTACAGAACAGAGCAAATCTGGTCAAGATGGCTAGAACTCTCTCTTGATTGCCTTGCTGCACAGCTCTTGTGCCCAAGACAGGTGAAAGGCTTTTTCTCAGGGTTTGCAGAGTTGAATGGTGAGGGTTTGCATTTCTATTGAGTTGGACTTGTAGGGGAGGGAGTGACATACTTTGAGAATTATATATCAGAGCTGCCACATACAGTTGAATAAGTTGGGCACTGCACAATTCCAGGGGGTCCTATTCACTTGATAAGCTATGTGAACAAGGACATTTTTGTTCAAAACCTGAACACTACTTGGAAGCACATTTGTTTCAGAATTTAGATTCATTTGTATGTAACAGTAGTACAAATTTGGTCACCCAAAGGTTACATTAGGCCCAGAAAAAGTTTAAAATTCAAAATGGATGCCAAAATTTTCAAATCGGGAGAATTCACATAAAAAAAACAGACAAACAAACAAAACAACAGACTTCAGATGTCTCTTGAAAAAGTGGCCATCTGAGGCCCACAATCCTGCATGGTAATTGTGGCTAGATCTGGGCAGTGGTGTTCCCTTTAGATGGGATATGCACTCCTCAGTTGACCACAGTCTCCTCTTCTCCAAATTACTTCCAGTCCTGAGGGTCTTTTGCCACTTATCCCTACACTTGCTCTGTGTTCCTCTCACTTGGCCCTTTGTCTCATTTTGTCTTGCCTGGTAGGTATTTAAGTTTGAGACCCTATGGACCCCACTGCCATGCAATATGTTCCTTCAAACTATGCTGCTGCTCATTACTCTGGGAAAAGCCCTGGTTTCTCTGAGCAGCAGTTTCTTCACCTGGGACCGAGAGGAAAAATCACCAGTCTCCTTCCAACTTTTCTTACTTCTAAACACAAAACTCCTGCTGTCTGCCAGCCATGTGGTGGGCTTTGGGGTCCTGGTACTGACAGGTGATGTGTTCTGCCCTCAAAGTCTCACAAGGGGAGAGCAATATTGAATGTGTAAGGCTCATTTCTATCAGGGCTTTGAAAAAAGTCTGGGGTGTCCTGCACATGAAATAGCAGAGGGGCTTTATGAGCAACTGAAGAACAAATTTGATCAATGGTTTAAAAAGGTTTTTAAAAAGAGAAATACCTAAGTACAAAATATTACTGCTATTATATTTACTGCATTATTCCATGTATTTCACCAGAGAATAACTTGGCACAGACAGGGTAAATCTTTGGATTTCAGAAGTATGGGGAACATGCCCTGCTTGTGAAGTTCTAGAAAAGACAGATGAAATGACAGCAATTTTGTAAATACCTGGAAACTCCACTCCTTGGCAAGGCTGGGCTTGGAAAGCCCAAGCTGTCAAGTTCGTCTTGGCTGAAAGTGTGGGGCCCAGCACAAAAGACAGGGTTTGCAGGCAGAACAGCTGGGTTTGAAGCCTGGTGCTAACACTTCATCCCATCTACCACCAACACCACCATCTACTAGCACTGAGCTTATACTCTGTGTAAGTTATAGCTGTTTCCCACGCACTTGATCTGCACAACAGTTCTGTGAAGTTGGTATTATCATTACCATTTTGTAGACAAGAAAACTGAGGCCCCAGAAGCCACGTGACTTGTCCACTATCACATAGCTAAAGAGATATGCAGCCAGAGTTCAATCCCAGGTCTGCCTGGCTCAAAACCTTGTTTTCCTGGCCAACGAGAGGATACTATTTCTCCGAGTCCTTCTGTTGCTCCCCATTTACTGTAATTTTTTTCATAAAAAGGACTTATTTTGAAATATATTAAGCACAGAAAATTATATAGGTAACAGTGAGAGAGAAATATCTTTGTTCCTACTGTCTAGCTTAAGCACTAAACGCTACTATTAGGTTGAACCATATGAAGCTGCCAACATTTGGCCGTAATTCAGTTGAACCCACCATGTCTCTTTCCCTCATCTTCATAGATAACACTCTTCCTTGATCAGGGCTCTTTACGAGCACCGTGACTTGATTTAATCCTCACAGTAACCCTGAGAGGTGGGGACCGCTATCATCCCTATTGGATAAGATAAACACGTAGTCTCCCTGAGCCTCAGTTCACCTCTCTTATAAATTGGGTGTAACAATCATGTCATAGGTTGGGTTCCCAAGAAGCAGGGCTTGAAATGAGGATTTTTTTTATGTGGTAAAATATATATAACGTAAAATTTGCCATTTTAACCATTTTAAAGTGTACATTTCTGTGGCATTATCACATTTACAGTGTTGTGTAACCAATGCCACCATCAATCTACAGAACTCGTTCATCTTTCCCAACTGGAACCACGTACTCATTAAAACTAATTCCCCATTCCTCCTACCCAGTCACTGGCAACCACCATTCTACTTTCTGTCTCTATAAGTGTGACTGCTTTGGGAACCTCATATTAGTGGAATCATCCAGTGTTTGTCCTTTTGTGTCT